AAGGGCACAGTGAAGTTACATGAACAACATATTCCAAGTGCCTTCTTTAGTATTACAGATAGTAAAAAATACTCCACGGCCACAAAGTTGAGAAAATAAATGTAGCACCAGAATATAGCAAACACTGGGTTGGGTTTGTTACTAGCAGACCTCTGGTTGTCTGTATCATGCCAGCTTCTCCTTCTTGCCCTACTCCTTAGATGCCTACGCTTCAGTCTTTGGCTTCAAGTGAAAGAGGAGAAATGAGTATAAAAGTAAGGTTCCCTGGCCCTGAGACCATAAGAGTGTGAGAGAAAACTCACAGCATCTTCCCATTCTGTGGAGCGTGCAATGGCACTTCATTCCTTGCAGTAGCACACTCCCCACATTAGCTGGATTAATTTAAATGACTTCAGTAACTACAAGCAACAAATTCTCTTCCAGAAGAGCATCCTAAAAACTGAACCAAGCAACCAACACCCCATCCCCCAAAAAAACCACCCCCAAAACCCAAAACCACCTGAAAAGGAGAAAGCTCAAATCTTTTCCAGGGCATCTACTGGCAGTGCCCTATGGGGCCTGGCAAGGGAAAAGATGGACATTTGGCACGCCATTAATCCACCTGACTTTCTTTGCTAACCTCACTTTCACACACTGAAAGCAATAATCACAAGCACCACTTCAATGCACATTGAGACCAACCAAGTAAGAGGCTGGAGACTTTCTTCCCTGCTCCTCAATCTCTAGGGACAAGCTAGGATCAAACTACATCTCACCTCGACTTCCAGCAACTTTGTGCTGCTGGATTCTCACCAGTCGGGCTGCCAACACTGTTCCCCCCTCACTGTCTGGGGACCTAAGTGTTCCCCAAGCAATGACTGCATTTTGAATTACTTACTTACTGCACAATGGGTTTGTAAGAAGCGTTTAGCTTGAGGACCCCCAAATTCTGGGTTTTCAGATAAATCCAGCTATCCTACAGTTGGAAGCAGCACAGGATTTTAGAAACACTTGCATCGATATCTCAAGAGTCCTCTAGCCTTCTCATACCCTATAGATGCAACCTCAAGTTACTGACACTAGCCCAAGAGAGTTTCAGTTGAGATGCCAGAGAAGACAGTTAATTTCTGTAGAGGCTCTGGGAGAGAAAAGATACCAACTGATCTTAAGATAAAAATCCATATTAATCACTGTTAACAATTAACAACTACAATCAGAATAACAACTTGCTCTTCAGATAAAATTGGCAAGTATCATTTTGTTCATCATTAAAACAAGCTTTGTGGCTTATTACCTCCCCCCTTTCTTTTTTCCTGTCTTTTTTTTTTTTTCTTCCGAATCTACAACAGGCTTATATTAAAAATCCACATACTGACAACTTCTCAGCATTAACCAAACAGTGTTCTTGATGCCAACAGTTTTTTCCAACAGCACTAACTCAAACAATTACATGTAAACATAAAGCATGCTTAGCCCAGTGAAGCAGTGCAACAGTAAATAAAGACTACAGTTTATTCATTTGCTTCAAACCTAGAGCAACAGTACACTGCAAAAACAGTACGCCTGAACTCTTGGCATTTCAGAACAAGAGCTGTGAAGTTGCATTGTAGATAAGGGGAAAGTGAAGTTTGGGAACACAGCATGCAGACAAACCTCAACTTTATGGTTAAAAAAAAAATCCACCAACCAACATTAGAAAAATGTAAAATTTGTGACAACTTAAGACAACAGAATGTCTTCACTTCTCCATTTGCAGTATACAGGAGCTAAAACACCAAGGGCTTCAAGGCAAATTCTGACTCAGTAGGGATATTATCACAAGATATGTCAGCCGCTTCTAATACTGCAACAGCTGGACAATCTTTCAACTAGGGAATATCCTCTTACCCCCAGAAGAAAAACTTTCCTATCATTTTAAAAAAGCTACTGTGAGGGGGAACAAGTACCAACATTTGCTGTGGGTTTTTTTCAACACAGATGAATTTTCATACTGTCTACTTTTACATGTAGTATGAAATATATATTCCCTGGTAAGGAGGAAAAAAAAAATACAGGCAGCGGTATATACCTTTCAACATTCAGACAGTTCAGTTACAGAAGTTCACAGCTGCAAAGTATCTACAGCAACAGAACTTAAGTTTGAGTGGACAGCAAAGCAAGTAAAAGTGTAGATACTGGTGCATCTACACCACTGTAAACCATCACATGCTACCATCAATTTAGTTCCGAAGATGGAGATTTTTCACTTATGCCATGTACTGAGCAGGACTAAATACTTCATTCAGAAATATAATAAATGACATTATTTTAACAACTGAAAGAGGTAACTGCATAAGCAAAATTTGGAATTCTTAGGTTTTTCCCAATCCATTCCTGACTGTACCTGTCAAGCCAGTGCATATGTCAGCATCTCATTACTATCACCCAGCTACTTGTAAGTCTACTCAAAGGGTAGCTGAAAAGTTGGTATTTTCTTCTGTCTTTGACATACCTCTGTTTTGAAATCCAACATTCACGAGCATTTTGTTAAATTACCACCTAAAGTGATTTATCAAGAGGAACAGCTAGCACCAAGAGCTACTTATAGCAAGACAAATTTTCCTAGACTGCCTTACTAACCAGATTTTAATCGGAAATTGTACCAGGAAGGGTAGGCATATAAATGCCAATGCATTTTGTTCATAAAATCCAAGCACATGGTTATTTTGGAACCTTAAATACTTCTAGGCTTGATTCACTGGTGCTGTGCCCTGCGTGTGGCTGCAATTTAGCAACTGAGAATTTGGTATAAAAGCCACAGTACCAAATCAGAACAGCAGAGATTTTGTACTTGCTTTGCAGTGGTTTGAAAGAACAAAAAAAAAAAAAAACAAACACTTCTGGTTTATCCAGTCAAGCTTTACCTCATGTAACCCTCAAAAGATCTGAAAACGGTTTTATGAAATTGGATTAAAAGATGAAAAATAGACAAATAATAACTTGTGTTGCCAGGAATGACTGAACTTCCCTTACTTTGCACATGCTTTCATACTGGGATTCACCAATAGTTTCAAAAAGATACAGTACTCCCTTCTTGTTAGATATTTGTGTATTTACTCACTCCAGAAAAGCACACTTAGAGCAGCAGTCGAGCTGCTTTTTGGCAGCATAAGTAAAACTCAAGTTTTCCCACGCTTAGGAGAAGCCAGCGCTGTATTTCTTAGGGCAGGAAGAAGTATGGCTTGAGAGAGCACTCCATGGCCATGCTTGTGCTTTTGCTGCTGTTGGGAAGCAAAAGATAACTGATGGGGCACAGCAGGAGCTACCACCTCACACAACCCTTCCCACTGGCACAGCAATGGGAACACTGGCAGAAGCTTCCAGCTACTCGCTGCCTGGGCAATGGCACCTGTGCTGGATGAAGATAAAGCTGGAGGACATCAGCAGTGGCAAAGGAAAGGTCAGTGACAAGGGGCCAGAGTTCATGAGGCACTGGCTCTGACCCACTGAAACACTGCTGTGCAACCTTCCTAATCATTCATTTTTTTTGCTCCAGAAGTTCACAGACCTTCCCTGGGCCTTCTTGACAGGCTCAAAGCAATGGAGGCAGACTATATTCACTGACAGAACAGGACCAGGTCTCAGAAGAACGACACACTTAATCAGTTTTGCACCACCTCAAGTATATGTCACTTCTCCAGATTTTCCTGATGTAAAATCTCATGAAACAGGAGAGTTTTATTCGGACACCTGAACTCTTTCAACTCTTGCTCATTTGGGCTCACATTAGCCAGGAAAATTTTAACAGTTTATTAACTTTCATGAAGGCTCTTCAGCTGTTCCTACAACTGCAGGACGAAGAGACCATTAAACTGACAATGAACATCGCCCTCACATTATTTATAAATGCTTTCTAATCCCAAACAAAAATGCTGTATGTACATGGACAAAATATAATCAAGTATCACCTGTACACTTTCTGATATTTAAAAAGGACAAATGATAAAAATTCATTAAAGATATTCATTATTTGTCCATGTTCATTTATGCTAAAATTCCACTTGCTATCTGGAGACCTACAGTGACATTCACAGAACATTTAATCCAGTACTCCTCTCCTGCCTGTGTTCATAAGCTCTTGGAATCACTGCCTGCTTTGTTTGTGAAGCAGACCTGCTGGGTTCATTCATCTTCCAATATGCCAAATTTTTTGGTTTTCCAGAACGAAATTGGAATTATGTAAAAATACAACAGCCCTCATAATCCATCTTGTATTTTTCAGTTCTTTTTCAAAGAGGAAGGGATTTAGAAATGCGGTTTAAAACATTTTGTTTGAACTGGACCATCCACAAATATAATCCAGAGGTACTCTGCAACTCAGTTACCACTGAAATTAAAAATCACAGTTTTATATTCTGTATGGAAACATTCATCTTTCTGAATACAGAAAGCCTGCTGATTCCACAGGACACATGTTAAATCATTCAGACCACAAGTCACACTGCTGTCTACCCATTTGTTCCATTCTCAGATGACCTGCAGTGGAAACAATAACTGGAAGGTCACAGTTTCTAGGAAAGAAGAATAGGGTTGAGCAGAGCAGCAAGAGGACAGGAATCAGGCTGAATTTATTAAATCAGGGCTTTCTTTGCTTGAGGGGTAACAAAAAACTTGTAAGTCAAGTCACACACAGTACTGTTCCTACCTAGAATGCATCCCTTTGATGGGCAGCTCACCAACCCATATTCGCTCATGTGAGTCAAAGATTGAACAACTACAGTATGCCCTCAGTAGGTAGAGAAAAGCAAGGCATTCTGAAAACTGCATTTTGGATTGAAAATAGCCTTCTATATACAAGAAAAACATTAATTTTCTTACGAAAGCTAGTCTGTTTCTAACACAGAGTTAACCAACTTCTGCAGCATTACAGTCAGGCCAATCCTCTACAAGAGGAGACAGTAATTTTTTAGGAAAGTTCCAGCAGACCAGTGGTGACTTGGCTCCAAGGGCAGACGAAGACCAGTAGAACCATACCACTTTACCTTTGTAATTCACTAAGCGCTCTACTTGTGGATGGGCTAGGGTTTAGCCTCAGGAAGTTCTGCTTTAAATTGAGATGAGTGAGGTCTTGGCTATAAAACAGGTTGGCAGGCAGGTGCTCCAGGCTGCAGCATGAAAGATCCACTGAGCTTATGCGCTGTGATGCAACCTGGAAGTCAAGAGGTACAGCAATATGTTAATACTGTAATAAAACAAGAACATTTCTCCTTCACCCCTACCAGCACAAGATAAACTGTTTTTAAGCACATCAGAAGTCAGTGTCAGCATATATAGCTGATCTAACATGGTTTACATTACTGCTGCAGGTTACGCCATGATCTCTTGCTTTGCCTCAGTGCTAAAACCGGGTCCACAGATGGCTAGCAGGGGTAAAAGTGCAAAGGTTTGTCCAACTAGTAAGTGAAATGAATTAATTTTCATCAATTAAGTTACACAACACTCTATGACCAGCAAAAAAAGATAAGAGACCTGACATAAACTTCAGTTTAGTCCTTTAGTTAGCGAGTAACAGCAGCAAAAACATAGTGCAGAAGTCTTCTATGCTGATGCATGACTGGTCAGTATACTCGAGTGGAGGTGAGGGGGTAATAGACATCATCCTGTCCCAGTTCAAGGGTCAAAAGCAGGTATTAAGTGGCAGAAGAAAGTTACGCTATTTATATCTTACTGGAGAAAAAAAAAAGAAAAAAAAAAATCACAGCAGCAACAGTCAAGCACCGAGCACTCATCTCTTCTCAATGAATTAGGAAACTGTCCAAGAGTGATAAAAATGTGACGAAACTGAGATTTGGGGGTTTAACACTGTTTTCTAGAAAGGGGAAGGTAAAACAAACACAGTCTATAGAGGCTAAAGAAATCATACCACCTAGCACTACATATAACTAGCACCATTCCACAGAAACCTATAGGCAACAAAATCAAGTAACAGCAACTCTGTCCCTTACCACATCTCTAGGATACAGCTAGGTGAACTACGTCCTGCTGCTTTATTTATTTACTAGTCTTTATTTAAAAAAAAAAAAATTAAACAACCCTGCAATGTAGAATTATTATATTTTCTGTCCAATACTATTAAAAATACACTTTTAAAAAAGTAGAGTTGTGGAGCTAGCTACATGACAAAGCATCACCACACAGCAGTGCAAGGCAGTGTGGATGGTTGGCAAGGAGGAGGGGTCAAATCCTAGGAGAATGAGAGGCGCTTTTGGAACAGGTATGGCTCAGATCAAAGGAGGAGAAGCAAACAACTTCACCACCATTTTAGACTTCTGGGACTGCACAAACAGTGCTCAATCGGTTCCATGTTCTGTCAGCTGCTCACTGCAAGAGAAGCAATCTTTTCATTTTGTCATTGGCACTTTTACTGGCCTCATATGCTAGGATTCTGGAAGTACAAACACCACATCTAGGGGACAAAAACAGGGAAAAAAACAACAACTCATAATCCATGCCCAGTGACAGTCTGTAAGAGCTGATGAAGGAGACACCACACAACCTTCTGGGCAAAGATACAGCCCTTGCCATAAAGTACCTGAATCTAGAGACATGAGGTTTTGCTGGCATAAGTGAAGTAGCTTGCTATTGAAAGAAAGGCCAAGGAGTTTTTTCTTCCTTTTCTTCCTCGCCAATGCAAGTTACACAGGCCTCAGGATAACTGGTCTCTATTCTCAACACATAGCCATCAGCTTCGAGAGGAACAGACAGTGCAGTGTTTTTCTCTAATGCAACTGTTAATAATCCAGTCCTCCCACATACATTAAAATGCTCAAATTTTTGTTACTCAATTACTTCAGTCCATTTGTTACTGTAGCTACTATTTTTCTTCCCCTGGTAGTATTAGACAAAAATTATTCACAGCTATTCTGAGCAGTCATTTCTGAAAGCCAGGTATTCAGTCTGTTTATGGTGCCAGAACCTGCCCGGTATGGTAGTTCTCATCACACCGAAAATACAAGAGACGAAAAAGCGCTGACACCCATTAAACTAAAAAGCAGAATGTGTAATTTCAGGTGTAACACTGTTGCTCCAGCTACTTGTTTGGACTGTGATATGAACAGTAATAAGCAACCCAGCAGTGCTTAGCAAGGCATGTTACTCTAAAAATATCTAAAGTACCAGAACTCATAACTCTTGAGTGTGAACCACGACAAAGCAGCCAAACAAATCCCAATTCCATTCTCGTCTCAAAAAAGGCTGCAAACCCTTTCTTAAAAAAAATAATAAAAAAATATCAAGCCCTGTGAAAAAATCTAGTTAAAAGTAATTTTGTTTTTACAAGTTATATATTCTGGTTATTTTTTGTTTGCTTGTTGTTTGTTTGTTTTTTGTTTTTTGTTTTTTTAAGTAATCTCTTTGTTACACAAAAGAATTTAATTAAGATTTTCATACAACTGACATACACTGAATGATGCCTCTCCCAGAGAGATAGCTATAAAAGTTAAAACCACATTTTAAAAGGTGTTAGTTCTGTAATCAACTGTAATTTTATTGAAGCCTTTTTTGGTAGCAAAACAGTACTCTAGGAATTAGCTTCTGAATTGTTACAAGGAATACTCATATAAACAAACACAGCTATCTCACAGACAGGGATAAAGACTTTTCCTCTTTCAATTGATCAATACTGTTCTGTCACAAATTCCTAGAGAGGAGAGAAACAAGATGAAAAACAGAGAGACAAAGGAGAACAACAGCTTAACAATACTTTCTTTGGTTCACCAGAAACTTTCATCAGTTGTTTTGAAGTTGAGTATTGAAATTCTGAAATTATATTGTTCCCCTATAGTACAATGAAGAGGTATTTCAATCTTGCAATCATCTTCAATTGATTTAAATGCAGTAAGACTGTGCACCTGTGTGTGTGTTATTGTCAAGAGCACAGCATTTTTTAAAAATATGATAAAATTTTTAATAAAGTACTGTATTTCCTTGACTCACTGTGGGCAATCACTGCAGACAAACTGATATACAGTGAGAAAATGCTGATGAGTATATTCCTCACAGCCAAAGACTCAAAAGCATCCGGAGGAAGTGACATTATCTGCAGAAAATACACTTTCCACTGCAAGGCAAAAAAAAAAAAACAAACCCCAAGACATTCCACTGCAAATAAATACTGCAACAAGTTATCTGGGTTGGGTTCAACAGAGCTGTGCTCCAACAAAAACAGTGAGAAGAGTCAGTGTGGCAGCAATGCTAGAGGGAAAGGCTTTCTAAATACATGTGAAACCTGCATCAAGTGCTCACTATGGCTTGTTTGGTGTTTCCTTTTGGAAAACTTAAAACTATATATATGTATGTAAAGCATATAAAACAGTTAAAAATAGAAACACAAGCAGCACAGTTCATAACTCCTCAGGCTGAAGAAGCCATTGCCCAGACCAACCCCTCTGGAACGTCTTCTCATCACATTTTAAACTGCATACATCCTTAACACTTGTTTTCACATGCAACCTCATTTCCAGTACTAATAACATGGGGGAAATGGCTAGGGCAATGATCTTCTTGGAAGATGGCATATGACACCCTCTCAGTTACAGTAGCTACAGCATAAGCTGTAGAGTCAATGCTTGTCTTTGCCAGAGAAGCAAGACATACAACAGTCTGACAGCAAGGTAAGCTCAAACGCATAGCAAGATCTTGTACTTTTTGAAGTCCACTTTTCAGTTGGGATTTTCAGTCATCACAAATATAAAGAAACAAGATGAAACACGCTGTGTTCTCCACTCACTGGATATGATTTTGAAACACTTTATGGTCAATCATTGTATTGCAATGTCTCCCATTGTAATACTAGAGGAGTAGTAACGGGGTGAGGCCAAATTTAACTTTGCACATCAAACGACAAAGTCCAATGGAAGACTTTTTTCCCCAGTTCCTGTTGCAACTTCAGTTATGCAGCCCTGGCCTACAGTGTTTTAAGTTCTTTTTTTTTGGTCTCCATGTGAGTACAGCATACTGAAGTGTAGTTTTGAAAAAGTGGTATACAACTATAGCACATATATGACAGAGTCCTGGATATACACCACGGCAAGCATCAAAAAGCTGTTATTGCGCTTTTAATTCTTGCCCAGCAGCAATAAAATGCAGCTTTATTCTGTGAATACCACCACAAATAATGCTGCCAGAGAGCTCTCTCCCTCCCTCAGGCAGTATGCCTTCTGCAACTGCCCACCTAAGAGCTGTACACATGAAAACTCACTTTCAAACGTGTTACTTGTAACACAGTAGTATTTACAAGTATAAACAATAATTCACAAAAGCCAGCAGCATCTTAAATAGAAAGGTTTCACCAAAGTGTTTAGATTTAAATTTTTTTTATTATTATTTTTTAAGAAGGAAACAGTATTTCAAGAGTGGTGAAAGTATGGTATGGGTTCACTGCAAATCTTTAGCAGCTGGCAACAAAAATACAGAAAAAATACTTGTATCAACCAATATTCTTGCCTCTTGCTATACAGGACTAAAAAAAAAAAATCACTTCACTTTGTCCATCAGTATAATGCCATCTCTGTCACTGAGCTATGCAACAAGACTGATTACTGTCTTTGTTTTAAAGCCTTGGCTATACTACAAAAATGATCTGTTGCTGACAATGGATGTCAGCAATGGACACAGCTGAACCCAGCTGTATGGACAAACACGAGCCTTGTTTACACAAGGACATCTTTTGGTGTGATCTGTGGTGTGAATTTAAACCAATGTAATTATGTCTTTTTCCTATTTACCCTCATCCCATTCCCTATAGCTCTATTCAGATAAGAAATTACTATTTAGCACTCCAACAGAAGACAATTAAAATAACTAAACTGCACAGGCAGCCAAATTCCCAGTCTGCTTGAACTGAGTTGACGGTGTTAAATTACACCTGCTGTAGACATGTTAATGCAAAGGCAGTGTAATTTTTCTCCTTTAGGTTTTGTTTTTAAACAGTTTGATAACCACCACATCCCACCAATGCCTGCATTAAGGCTTAAGTAAACGATACATACGCTTGAAATATCTAACTGCTTAGAGCAACCAGGTTCTCCTCACCTCAGAGCTAACGTTGCTTCAAACCCTAATCCTCCTTTCTATTTGAACTCCAAAGCCCCACTCGCTCAGCAGAGAGGCCACCCTCCGCTGAGCTGAACTCCGCAGCCAGGAAACACA